TTTCGAGAGAAAATTTATAAAATAATTTATAAGTCAGCCCTATACAACAATATACGTTGATGAATCGTTCACCCTAAACCGACCATATTATAGCACAGGTATGAGATTTAATCTATTGAAAAATGTATTTTAAGATATCTGTTTAATAATATACAATATATAATATATAATATATAACCGTAGATGTACACAAGATATTCAATGTAAAATAAGTGCAAAATACAAAAAATTGAAAGTTTAACTTTGTAATCATACTTTGAAAAGACTATTCCATCATAAAGCTGTCACATCCTCACAATACTTTTTTTTAACAATTGCTACAAGTGTCTATTATATTACACATTTTAAGCTTCAGAAAATCTGAAATTGCTTTTCCTGAATCTACAATCAAAAAAATTGATAAGACTTATTTATTCTATCCTAACTAAGCCAGAACAAAGATAAGCTATATATTAAAAATATCTTTAATCGTTTCTAATGCTGATATTTAACTGATAAAATATCTCAATAAATACAGAAATCAATTGAACGACGTATACCTACCTAATTTAAAATGTGTATTGCTGTGCTAGCTAATATTCAAAATCACCTCGTTAATATCGGTTAATTAAAAATAAAAAATTATTCGAAAAGTAATTTATAAAATGATAATAACTAATAACAACTATTATTATAACTAGATACCCCCCCCATATATTATATATTATACATTATACATATGTCGGTTATCCCTATCAGATATATCGTATATTAATATGGTATATACCAACATTGAATAAAAGATCGGAACACTATAATTGTAACCTAAAAACACATAATAAATGCTTGTATTTACAGTTAAAAATTCCACGGGCATTATTCAATAGAACGCGACATTTTGTATGGGTTAAAAAATGGGGTCGCTTGTAACAAAAAAAGTTTGCTTCATAATTCTTGTGCAATACTCACTATTTGTCTTTTGTTCAAAAAGAGTTCAAAAAATATATAAACCATCATACTCATGTAAAATGTACAAGGAACATGCACACATAGTTTGTGTAATAAATATTACTACAAAACTATTTAATTTAAAAAATATCAAAAAGTAATTAAGTATTTAAAATAATAATATTAAATAGGTTTTATTTCACAGTATAAAATTTAAACACATTACCATTTATAATATGTAAAGTTTAAACATTTAATTAGTGAAGTAGTGTCACTGAATCCGGTTCCATTTCGTCATCCGGTTTTTTGTAATTTCTCATCAAATTTACTAAATATTTTTAATTTTACTAATTATTGTAAAATGTCATATTTATTTTTAATACAAAACAACTTGAAATCTTCTTTTAAATTACAGTTGATATTTAAAAACGTCTAAAATAGTTTAAATTGCTTTAATAATATTACATTATCGACTGTGATATATTATTTATTGATAATTAATTGATTTTTACTAGAAAAGCATGGAAATAAAAAATAATTTGTTTTGTTCAAAACTGATAACGGATTATTAATCTTTTTCCTCACTGGGCTTTAACATAGAAACGCATCATCAATTAACCGAATTATTAAGAATAAAATAACATTACAAAATACCACTACATAAATTCTCATCATCATATTTATAAATTATAAATCATGTTAACTTCAAAACTAAGAATAAGATTATTTGTACAAGAACAAACACTATAGAGTAAAAAACAGAGACGACTTAAGTCGTATTATTCACATAAGCTCAATATTATAAAACAGGAGTAAAACTTTTTTATCCAAGCGTACAAAAAACCGAATACGATGTTTGTGTGTAAGATTTCGTGCAGATGCCTACGGCTCGCGGCTCGGCTGTTAAATCTCAAGCATAACGTCATACACTATTTTGTTCTGCACGTGTAACAAAAAACAAAATATATATCATACAGCAATTTGTAATGCCAGTAAAAGGGTAGCTATGAATTTTACATGATTATTTAAAATTCTAAAAGCACTATACTATATTGAGCTTATCAATAATAAACGGAAACATTTGGCGTACCGAAACATATTACGATCGTATCGAGTTTAACACGTGGTGAGCATAGGTAATAGCTGTGTATTATATTTTAGGTAAAGTCAACGTGCGTATATTATTATATATTATAATTTATATTATACACAATACAGGAATCGAGCAAAATTGTTTTCGATATTAATCGATAATTTATCGAGTGTAATATTATTATAACGTATATTATTATACGTCGGTGCGCATAAACACACTATATCGTGGTGCGTTATGTACCATTGTACCATACCCCCATATATACTGATAACTGTACATATATATATATATGTACTATAATGTACCTACCATGCATATATATATATATATGTACTATAATTTACCTACCATGCATATATTATATAATAGGTACCTACATATCGTATAATCTACCCGCAAGTGCCCGCGGATACGCGTGTTTCCCATATTTCGTATCTGAAGTCAAAAAATCTTTTCAACAGCGATAAACTTTTTTACGACATTACTTAGCATAATATACGGGAGCGTATACTTATTGTCGTCACACGCGATGAAGCTTAAGCACTATATGTACGGTATATAGTCAATTTATCTGTGTGTATGTATTTACATGACGTGTTTTATTACTATCCCGATTCATCCTTAATTCGTACTTTACAACTCTTGCGCATCACCGCGGTCCCCGTCAAAGATGTATAATACTGGGGGTAGGTGCGTAAGTATATTATGCGTATACGGTCTAGGGCGCGAGTGCAGTCTCGTCGAACATATTTTTAACATTCGTTTAACCGACGACGTGATAATACGATTTTTTACAACTTGAAACGGTTCCATCAACAGTCGAGAGATGTATACATTTGGCAGCGGATGGAGCGTCGATACACTATCCTGCCGTTTTTTTTTTTATTATTCAATTTTAATTTAAAACAACAATCCTCCCCTCCCCCTTCGACGAAAGCAACTTCTAATTACTCTAAGATTTAAACACTTTAAGTTAGTGAATATTTATTATGTATTTTTTTTTATTTTTAAAGACTACATCTAATTTATAAAGGCACAAATATAAGGTATAGGTATAAGAGGTACAAACTTGAATAAAACTTGTCATAAGTACTTATAACTGTACTTAATACTTATTATACTGTCGTCTCCGTGCAACAAACATCCAACCCACCAAATATGCATTCAGCAGTTTCAATATTTTTGTGTTGTTACTTGTTAGTTTTAATAGTAAAGTGAATTGATCTACATAGTAGACAATATAGTACCTAAATATATTATTAACTTTTGTATTTTTTTTTTTTTTTTTAATACAAATATATTATTACTAGCTGATCCCGTGCACTTCGTTGCCCGTTAAATGTATCAACTCTATATGACTCAAACTTTGTTCAATTCGTTATTTAATATTTGGTGTACGGTGTTCAAAATGTATCTTAACTTTTCCGTTGCCCGGAATAAAAATTCTGAATCTCAGTTATCTCTATTAATTATTATTAAATCTCTATTATACTTTTAGGGGGTGCTGCAAATAATTATTTTACGTACTTATATAATGTGTCACTTGTTGTTTTTTGCAAAATAAATATTATTATTATTATTATTATCAGGTAGGAAATCTACCTGCGGTAGATCGCGGACCCCGTACTGTTTGTACGTAAGTGTATGATTTAACTCTAAAGTACCTATCAAAATTATACCAAGTTTGTCGTTTTTACTTAATTCCACCTACGGTTGATTAAAATAATCAATTTATTTAATCCCAATAAATATAATTTATGTTTAAAGAGTAAAGCAAATATTTTTTTTTATTATTATTATTATTATTATTATTATTATTATAATAATAATATAGCTAAATATAGCTTAAAAACCCATGGCAACCATTTATAAACAAAAATGTCCATCGGAAATCTCAAAATTCCCGTTTGAGCACCTCCCGGGGTTGGTCTTCTCCCTTTTTAAATTAGCCTATGTTTTAAGTTGGACCAAAATACACACAGTGTACAAATTTCATCAAGATCGGTCCAGTAGTTTTTACGTGAAAGAGTAACAAAGTCACAAACTTTCGAGTTTATAATATTAGTAGGATTATTAGTAGGATAATAATCGCTGTTATATGTACCTAGCTTAATAAACATAAAGCATGTGATAAGATGATAAGGATCCTTTAGTATAAATTTGCAGTCAAAAAATACGCCATACCTATAAGTAGGAACAAATTTCACCGCCACCTAACATTAAATAAAGAAAAAAATCACAACAATAGGAATATTGTAAATATGAAGAAGGTAACAAAGTTGTACAAGATTGACTTGGAACATGACCGTTCGGAAATATATCTTTAATAACCGAGTTGAAGTCCAAGCAAGAGTTATGGCTGGTGTCTAATGGTGGTGGTACTAAAACTATGCAATTTAATAATATAACGTCCGCACGACTATGACAGTTATGAGTATGAGAAAGGGCCCGTGAGGCCTCTATATAGTTGAGACGAGGTTGAATATATATCGTATGTTATATGCATATATTATATTATAATTACCTGTATGTATATAATATATATTATATTGTTAACTATTAATCTATAATTATTAACTATTGAAAAGCAAACTTTCCATAATAACTTATGCAGTAATGCGTCGAAGTTTTGAGGGCCTGACGTCGCGCGTACAATAGTGCTCTCTTACATCCCACCCGATAATCAAAATATATTATACACACGGGGTGCTTGACGAAGATATGACACGAGGTTTACAATTCACGTAATATGTACAAGGGCGCCCGCTGGGGGATGGGTCAAAGGGGCCAAAGTTTAAACTGCATAATATGCACTTTGATACAAATATAACAATAACAACAACTATTATTAGATTTTAAGTAATTCTTATATCATGCCCCGGGCGGGATCTTATTCTGCGGGCGCGCTTGAATATGTATAGTGATCCTAAGATATAATATTGTAATTAATTATATAGGTATTAATATTTCGTACAACCTGCAAAACGTCGGCGGTGACGACCGGCAACTTGTACGGCAATCCGTACGGGTGAGGGTGTTGAGGTGGCAGTCTGGTGTTGATGGCGCCGGTGACGAGCATGGAGTTCAGTTCGGGCGCGGCGGCCGCTCCGACGTCTTTGACTTTTAAATTGCTCTTGAACGGTTTTTTGACGGCCGACGACGAGGACGAGGACGACGACGACGTCAGATCGGTGCCGCCGGCTGTCCGACTCGCCGCAAACATCTGGTGCTGGTCGAGCGCAAACGTGACGCGTTGTGGCCGGCCGAACGAACCGCGGCCGCCGGACGATGACGACGACGACGCGGACACAGGGCGGCCCGCGGCCGTGAACTGGTCCGCTTCGGCCACGGTGACGGAGGCCGGCGGAGGTAGGAGCTCCTCGGCGGACGCGGTCCGCTTGTTGATGAACATCGGCCTGGACGTGGCCTGGTGCTGGCCGCAGTTGCACGACGACGACCGGGGTGGCCGGCCGCAGTCGACGCCTCCCAATCCGCCGTTGTGCAGTTGCATGTGGTACGCCGAGACCGGTGGCGGTGGCGTGGGCGGCAGCCCGGACGGTACGATGCCGGCGTTCTGCAACTGCTTGGTGCCGGCCGCCTGCAGCTTCTCTTGGATGAACGCCCGCTTTGCACCAAAGTCTGGATCTCGAGCGGCCGCAGCCCGGCCGCCTGACTGCATGGTGTGGTAGTGATGATGGTGATGATGATGGTGCACGGGATTCCGGCCGTCTGCACTCGAACACCGTTTAGTAAACTTTTTGCGTCGGTAGTCAAACGACGGTTCGCTCTGGGTCGATTCAACGTCTGTCTGGACACCCGACGGCGGGGCCCACGATGACCGCACGGACGAGGAGAGCATAGTCCCGAACCGTGACTCGGTGAGGTTGCCCAGCGATTGGCGCCGGCACGCCGCGTCAAGCGTGGCCGCCGCCGACGACGGCAGTATGCGTGGACACGGTTTGGCCACCACGCCGAGCGCCTCAGCCGCGCTGATCTTCCTGCCATCCGACGAGCACTGCTTGTTCTGCTGACTGCTGACGGCCATCAGTGCGGGTGATGAGCACCGGCTGCCAGCCGAAGACCTGAACGACGACCTGGCTGAGTCTTTGGCCGGAGGCGGCGAGCTCTTCTTGTCCTGCACTACCACATCTGCCGGCAGGCTTCCGCGCTTCTCAGCTGGTGGCGAGGAAGCGACCGATACTGCCTTTATAGCGCTGTCCGAATGATGTCGGACCTTCTGCGGGTGTACGTTCTTGACTGGTGACTCGATGGTCCGCACCCATATGTCGGCCGCGCCGTCATCCTCGTCGTCGTCGTCATCGTCGTTGTCGTCGTCGTCCGTGCTCTCGGCCAACGTGGAAGTGCCCGAGTCCACTTCCACGGGAAGCCTCTGGTCAACGGTAGTGGGGGTGATGACCACCGACGGTTTGACGGAGCAACCACTTTCAAACTTGCTGATCAACGCCGAAGCGGACAGGTCTTCGTCCGGTTCCGCGGTCCCCGGCGAAGGTAGTATGTGTGGCGGGGGAGGTGGCAGGAGATTAGTGTCCACATCCGGAACAACGGTGTGTGGCGGGGACGGGGGCGGTGGCGGAGGAGGCGGTGACGGTGCGGTGACCGCCGCCGGTTCCGGTTTCTTGCAGACCGGTTCAGCTGCTGCAGATCTCTTGGCCGGAACAGTGGTCAGTCTAGTCTGTTCGCCCCTGGGTGGCACTGGAGGCGGTTTCTGTTTGGCGGTCGCCGTCGTCCCCTGCATTGCAGCCGCGGTGGACGTTCTGACCGGTGGCGTCGGGGCGCCACTGCTACCACCACCGGTGCCGGCCACAAACGTGTGCAAGACGGACGCCGGCACTGGCGTTTGCAGTTGCTGTTGCTGCTGCGGACGGTGGTCGGCGGCGGCGGGCGAGGCCGCCAGATAAGTGAACGGTTTGCCAAACGCCGCGGCCGGCCGCATAGTGTCGACGGCGACTATACTTCCGGTCGGACCGTTCTCGTCGCCGAAATATCACATAAAATTCACGCGTCCACAATCGACCCGACGGACGGACAGATGCGGTGTTCGCTCGCGTGCGGCGGAGGAGGTTCAAAAACGGAAACGCTCACGCTCCACAGGAGGCGGTGTAACAATAATATTACAGTGTGCGAATGTCGCGGCGGCGGCGGCGGAAAACGCGTGCGGCGAAAACGTCGACGGTGCACAGTGGTGTGCGCGCCCCTCTCGAGAGAGCCGCCGCGTGCGTTTGCGTGTGTCGTCGCGAACTGGGGACCCGACGTGAGCAGCGCGGACGGCCGTCGAGCGGCGGCGGCGGATCGAACGGCCGGCCGTGCGCATGACCGTTGCAAAGGAGCGCGACGTGCCGCTCCGTGGGCCCGTGGCGGCGGGACGTGCAGGAGGTCCCTCTGTGCGTGCGCGCCGCGGAGGAGTAATACAGCAATTATACCGTGGAAACACCCCGTCCCGCAGTTGGCGCGGTGCTATTGTATATATATATATCATATACCGTCGCCCTTCCGCGCGGCAGCAGCTTTTCATCTCCGAAAACGCATATTTCCTCCGCGCGAAAAACCTAACCTATAACAACACGTTACGTGCTGTATCACACTATTATTATTATACACTCTTTCGATATCGATCAACTGTACATACATAATGCACGACACGCCACACGCACGGTGTATGATATATATGCACAGCAGCAACAATACCTCCGCCACCGCTACCACCACAAAATATGTCGTTTTTCGCAAATATCTCTATGACGTATATTATGCACGCGAGCACATTGTTTTTGAGAACGTTCCGCGTCGGGTGATGTGTTACGTATTCTTATTAGTTAGAGTATATGTTTTGTCGACGTTGTTGTTGTGATTGTTATCATAACTATTGTAGTTGTTGTTATCGGCCAGCGATATAACACCTGTTTGAAGTGCACTTACGTGTATGTAGGAAGTTCCGCGACTATGGCGTGTGAGCAGCGATATTATATCGTTTTCCTATCCAATGCAATAACTGAATCATTTCTATATAGGAACACGATTATTGGCAGTGCACCGACCTATATATATAGATTATAAGTAGGTAAACTTTATTACTATTAACTGCTGTTATGAGTTAGTATAATAATTATTCTCGATGATTCCCGCGTCTCTCTTTCCCAATTAATTTAGACAATGATAGTAATTTTATACCAGTTAACGTACTTACATTTCTTTAGGATTACCTACGTTTTTATTGCATTCTTATTCGTTTAGTACATACCAACCCCGTGGCGAGATGTTCTCGCTGACGAATTTATTCCAGTTATAATATTATTATTATGTCGATGATATAAATATATGACATTAAATAATTCAATTATTGGTGTACAGTATTTATATATACATAAAGATATATTTGTTGTATCTAAACTTGCAAATTATATGATTATATTATTATGGTTTTGACATAATGTGTACCGACCGTACCTATATCAATGTCAAAAGGCATAATAATTTTATTCGACTCCGAGTTGTTTCATGTCTAAGTACAATATCATAAACTATGATAGTCGTTGATAAGCATAAGTTTAATATTTATTAATTTATTAAAAATACGGGGAAAAAGCCCAATAGTAAGTAACTACAATAATAATATTACAAATGTATCTTAAATTAACGAAAAAGCATACGAGTAATAAAAAAAATAAAAATACCAACATGTGTATATATTTTAAAAGCTTTAATTATAAAATATTCTTTTTCAAATTGGGAAAAAAAACACAAGTATAAATGGAAAAAAATCAAGAAAATTCTAAAATAAGTTTGGTAGAACAAAAATATTGTTTTTTAAAAACACGATATTATTTATATATTGACATGAAGTGCTTCCTTGTTATTTATTGATATAAATAACGTTAATCATACGAATAGTACATTTATTGTTGCAATTCGTCTTACAATGTCATCGCTGATATCCGTAGGAACTCATAATATGTTAGTATATTACATTAGCAGACACGCAAGATCGAAGCCTAAATACAAAACAATCCACTTACATGCATTTTAATAAATATATTTTATATGCCTGTATATTCAGTGGCGTCCGCAGGGGTGGCTAACGGGTTGAAGCCCCCCCCCCCCATTGCCCGTATTATATTACTTTTTCAAAAAATATTTATCAAGTTTCAACTGTCAACTATGGTAAGCAAGACGTAAATTTCATATATGTCTTACCAGAATGAATTCATTTTTGAAAAAACATTGTAATTGCATACCAATTTTCATAAATTATCTGTAATTGTTCGGTAAAAGTATGAACTACTTGCACAAAAGACCTTGTATTAAATTGTCTAGCCCTAGCTATTACATTTATTGTTTTATAAGTTTTGAACAACAAATTAACTGCAGTTAACCCATGGGGTTTTGACGAAATTTGAAATTTGAACTTTAAATGCTTATAAAAAAAAAAACCATGATGCCTATGTATCGTTAATACTTTAGCTATAATAAAAACTTACGTATTACATTTTTAAGCTTATTGATCGGATGAATCATTTTTTATTGACATTTATAGAATAAAAAATGTTAATTAATCAAATACAATCCAAGTGAGGACGGTATAACCACAGATATTTAATCTATTTTAATAAATTTTCATTTTTTTTCTCTAATTATTTTAAAAAGCACTGAGCATTTTCAATTTCTACCTCATAAAAGTACCAACTACATCCAATTTGCTTCCAAAAATATACACCGTACATCAAATCTTATGATCAGAGCATTTTTTCTACCAGAAGAGTTGAAAAGTTACAAACATTTTAAAATACCTCAAATAAACGTCTGAAATCATTAGACTGGACAAAATAAAAATTACTAATTTTCAAGCCCCCCCCCACCATTTAAAAATCCTGCGTACGCCACTGCGTATATTATTTTACTTTCTGAAGGCTATTAAATAATAAATTGAGTTTTATACAATAATGGTTAAGAATTTAAAGATATCGGTGTCGAACGTCTATACCCACATACAATTCAATCAAATCAACTATAGATAACTTAACAAACATACCTAATATTAAAATATATAAGATCTTTGAGCACTATAAAGATATGATATCATGAATAAATGCTAAGTTTATTGAATTTAAGTAAACTTATTTTGTTTCAATAATTTATTTACTTGGTGAGGAATTATTTCTTAAAAGAAACAATGTGTGATGAACAAAATAATTAAATGGCGAAGGATTATTAAAATTTAACTTATTATTATTTAAAAAATATTATTTTTAATATTTATACACTATTCAAAATAATTCCTCGCCAAGTAAATAAATTATTGAAACAAAATAAGTTTACTTAAATTCAATATACTTAGCATTTATTCATGATATCACATCTTTATAGTGCTTAAAGATCTTTTAAATTTTAATATTAAGTATGTTTGTTAAGTTATCTATAGTTGATTTGACGAGGAATTATTTTGAATAGTGTATAAATATTGCTAATGATAATGTGTATTATAATGAATAATGTGCTTAAAGATCTTACATTTTTTTACTTAGCCATTTTTACACGTAGTTTACGAAGGGTTTTTTTGTGATATCACTAATTTTTATCGTTATTAAATATTGAGTATTTACACAATAATCTATAAAAACGGTAATATTGTTGGTAACATTAGCAACGCTGATGCGACGACGAAGACAGCTACCGTGGTTCTGAATTTAATTTAAATTTCCATTAAAAAGTTCGCACTTTTTCATTTATAACTTAATTTCTAAACGTAAAATTTTGATGATTTTTACAAGAGCACGTTCTACGCAATATTTCTGAGGTTTTGGAGTTTAATGGGGTTAATTGACTCATTAGAAAATTAGTTATGTCTTGTAACAAATTTACCTGTATTTTACACAGTTAAAATAGGCAACTCCTGCTTCGATATATTATACACACATCGTCGTGCAGATATTATTTTTTTTTTACTTACGACCGTATCGCTGGATATCAATAATAATAGTGATCTTTAGAAAAATGAATGCTCTATTTTGTATTAAGTAAATCTCATATTGTACTTTATTGTTATTATTTGTATATTTAAATTTAATGTTTAATTTAAGAACCTCTCACCTTCAGCACAAGTTTTTGCTTATAGGAGATGAGCAAACTTACTACCGTATTTATATAATTGAAAATGCGTTGGGAATTATTTGCAAATAAAATAAAACTGTTATTATTAACGAGCTCGAAATTCTAATGCTGTGGGCCGACGATAACGATAAACATACTAGCTGGCTAGTAACACACGCCGTCGTCTAGGATATTTTCTCGGAGATCGGTCTATGTGTTGAAAGATTCGTATTTAGCTCATTTCCAACTCTCGATTAAATTCTAACGTACACGCACAAAATATTTTCGTTCAAAAAATAAATTATGGCAACAGACAACTATAACATCGACCGCGCCCCGGTAAACATGATATTACTGAAAGTGTTAGAAGAAATTTTGGTCAACAAGATGGAAGGCGCTTTCGCTAATGAAACTGCCGAATGTCTAGTTCGTCTAGTCGCTCATCTTTTATCTGCCATTGACACGGTCGCCACTTCAGTGAGTGGTGACGTTCAGACCCCGGAGTCGGAGCCCGGAGGGCGAAATCCGACTCTATTGGAGGCGCAGACGGAGAGGCGTTGGCCGAAGACGTCGAGGAAAATATAATTTTTTTTCATCTGATTCGTCTTCTGGACGCAAAACTGAATGGTCCTCTACTTTTGCTTCCGAAACTTTTGAATTTTTGTCTCCTCGGACTGTGTCGTCGTTGCCGAGCGGCGACGCGCTGTCACCTGCTCCAGAGTCGGAGCTCGCTCCGATCCCAGCGACAGCACCATACAAAAAAATGTATTTTCCTCCACGTCTTCGGCCAACGCCTCTCCGTCTGCGCCTCCAATAGAGTCGGATTTCGCCCTCCGGGCTCCGACTCCG